TATATAAAGACGCCAGTAACGAAGCCATATTCCCGCTTCAGTAAACGCGCACTGATACACCAAGCCCCAACAACATGTCCACCGAACAGCTGACGCCCGATCTGGAAGCCCTGCGCAAAGAATGCTTAGCTGTTTTGAAAAATGCCTATTGTCGTTACAGCAATTTTCCCGTTGGGGCCGCTCTGGCTGGCAAGGATGGAAAGATATATACAGGAGTCAACGTCGAAAACGCTTCCTTTCCCTGTGGCTGGTGCGCTGAGATCAGTGCATTTGGCTCAGCAGTAACCGCTGGCGTTACCGAATTCACCGGGATGGCTGTCGCCTGCGACCGGAAAGAATTTGTTTCGCCCTGCGGTCGGTGTCGCCAGGTGATCATCGAGTTCTGTTCCGGAACTGGAATGCCGATCCTCCTGGTAAACCGCAATGGAGACTTCAAGAAATGCGTCATTGAAGATCTTCACAAAATGGCCTTCAAGGAGGAACATCTAAAAGACTGCTGAAGCTCTTGGAATCATGCCTGCCTCATTTCTAGTTCACTGTACGAGTTGGTGAGAAAAATGCTAAAACAGTATCTGCTTTGTCCTCTAACAGTTTGTGGAAAGCATAACTTCTAAATATAATTTATTTCTGCGATACATCAGGTTAAATTCCGTGAAAAATCCTAAGATTGCAATCTGGCACGTCTGAAGGCCGAACAACTTCCTTTAACATTAATTAGAACTGAAGAAATCCCTATTTTTCCAAGAAATTAACGGCCGAGCTTCGCTAAATTCTCTTCTTCCTTCATACATACATACATACTTCCCAAGGGTATTTAGTTAGTAGCCAATCGGACATCACTAATTATCGCGAAGCGGATTGAAGCATAAAACAAAGTGTGAATCGCCATTTCCTCATCGGTTTTTTGTCCTCAGACTATTTGGTCCCAGACAAGGGCGATTAGGCAGTCAGGTGCGAATTTTGGCCTCCCTTCTTGTTTTCGCTATTCCTTTCCATAGGGTTGTAGAATTTGATTTTAATAGAAGAACCACATTCGCCAGTGTAGACGTCTGAAAATGAATGATACATTACGCATCTTTTAGTTGACATCGAAGCATTATTGTTCAGGCGAATAGCATCTGCGCATTTCGCATCAAATAATGGTCGAAACAGATTCGTGATTCAGCTGATGACACTGTACGTCATTTTTTTTATATCTCTTTTAAGTCGGGGAATGCGAAAGAACAGAATGGCTTCCTTCGACAGATTTTTGGTTTCTCCATGTATGTAACAACATACGTTGTCTGATATTATTTTTGAGCAATTTGCGCAGTGTTGTGCACTGAAGAAGTTTCTGGTAACAGTTTTACGGTTTCCGGACAAAAATGTGAACCGGTTTTAAATCTAGAATCATGTACGCCCGAAGCGTCTCTACTTTCTACACACTGATGTGCATTTACACTCTCTACAGACTGTGCCTAGGTCCCATTGACAGAGCGGTCAGTGTGGTGTTAGTGAGAAGTTTGCTGAGTTCGGTTGCATGCCTCATATTTTTCTCTGTTAGCAGAGTAACTTGTACGAATAAATTGCATTGTTTGAAGCCGAATGTCGGCATAGGAAATCGCTTGGATCGTACTGATACATGGATGCGTATGTCAAAATATAGTATGTAACGTAACCGAAGACCGTATTCTTCGTAGAAATACATTATATGAACTATGCCTCATTTTGTTAGCCAAAATACCCAATCCACAGCAAATGTACTTCATAATAATGTTTCAGGAGTCTGTCCATCTGCCATTCGCCGAGACTCCCCGATCGAATTGATGTTACCTCCAGAGAACTAGACATGGTATTCATCCGCCCTTTGTCTTCTCTGCGGACAGCTTTTTGGTATTGTAATTGGGGTTATGTGCATAATGAGGTCGAACGCGGACAAGAGCGTGAGACATCCTTCGTTTGAAGGGATGGTCAGCGCGGAAAATGCAAACTCATCCGTGGCCTCACTGGCTAATTCTTCCACTGACACCGTCCGCAGGCGGTCAGAGAGACGACCTGACCAGCCTGAATATAACTATGCAAAACAGAGTTGTTGTTTGCTGCCAAAGACATCTTTTTGCCTATACAAGCAAAAGTAACAACGGAACTTGAAAGTATCTGCTGTTTCCGGGGCACGATTCAAAAGGAAGTGTGTATATTATCAGACACTAGAAACCTTAGAAAGACTAACTTTGCAAAAGGGATTGCGACGATATTTCTGATACCTCGACAATATTTAATATATCCGAAGACCAGATTCGTTTCCTAAGACTCACACACACTTAGAAAATAAAGTCCGTAAACTATTTTCTCAGTCCTCACGTCATTTTTCTATCGCATGGCAATGATTTCGTGCAGCAGCAATCTAACATGCTTTTTTTCCCAATCAGCCAAATCACTTTGAGTAACTGGCTGCCTCAACTTATGAAAAGCAGTTCCAAAAGCCTTTCTACTGTCCAGATATTCAATCTATGGAAGCGTGGGGACGAGTAAGTGAATGCGAGTAATATAAGCCTCCCGTATACATGAACTTCACAGTTTATGCGCATCCGAAAATTCTCACGGACAGGACTAATTCAGTCATGCATGCTTTTTTAAAAATCCGGCCT